ATACTGTTTTCCAGAGTGGCTGCACCAGCTTGCATTCCCAAGTTATTTTTTAATTCCTTATTGGACTTTTTGACACATAGGTTATTTACAAGTATGTTATTTTCCAAACATTGGGGGAATTTTTGAGATCCCTTTTTGATATTTATTTCTGATTTTATTATGGTTGGAGAATATACGCTGTATGATTTCTGTCCTCATAGAATTATTACAGTTTGTTTTGCAGCCCAGTATATAGTCTATTCTGATGTTTGATTCACATATTCTTGAAATGAATGTGTATTTTGTTGTTGGATGGGGTATTTATAGATGTCAGGTTCATTGATGCTTATTGTGTGTGTGTGTGTGTTTGTGTGTGTGTGTGTGTGTGTGTGTGTGTGTGTGTGTTTGTTCTTTATACATCTTGTGAGAGGGATGTTGAAATCTGTAGACATTAATTTGTCTTTTTTTCCTTTCATTTTTGTTAGTTTTAATATGTGTGTTATGGGCATCTATGGTTAGGTACAAATATGTTTATAATGGTTATATCTTCTTGCAAATCTCCTTTTACAATTTGGAAATATACTTCTTTGTTTCTAATAATATTTATTATCTTGAAGTCTATATTGTCTAATACTAATATAGCTACTTCACTTCTCTTAATGCTTATAGTTTGCATGATGTTTTTCTCCCCATTCTTTTGTTTTCAGCCTATTTGTCTTTGAATTTAAAGTGAATTTCTTGGGGCACCTGGGTGGCTTAGTTGGTTAAGCATCTGACTGTTGATTTCAGCTCAAGTCATGATCTCACAGTTTGTAAGATTGAGCCCTGCTTTGCGCTCTGAACTGACAGTGTGGAGCCTGCTTGGGATTCTGTCTCCTCTCTCTGCTCCTCCCCCATGCACTTGCACTCTCTCTCAAAATAAATAAATATGTAAAAAATAATAAAGTGAACTTATTATGGACAATGTATAGTTGATTCTTAACTGTTTTATCCAGACTGACAGTTTCTGACTGGAATATTATTCCATTTCTAGTTAATGTAATTATTGATTTGTTTTGATTTATGTTTGCCATTTTGCTATTTGTTTTCTGTTTGTTTAATGTCTCTTTTGGTCCTTTTTATTTTCCTGTCTTCTTTTGTGTTAAAAGAATGTTTTATAGTATACCATTTTAATTTCCCTGTAGAATTTTTATTCATAGTTCAGTCTCTACATACATGTAATATTGCTATACGGGTTACAATATGATATTTAACTTCTTATAACCTACTACATGTTAATGCTGCTATATTTTTCTGGCAAAACATAGAAATTTTGCACTAACATAGCTCCATTCTCTATTCTCCCTGATCATTTGGTGCTGCTTTGTTCTTTTAATCATGTATGTTACACTTAATGTTTGTCATAAATGGGACAATATGTTATTATTTTTGTTTTAAAAAGCTTTTTAAATGGCAGTGCAAGCTGGT